CCAGAGACCAGGGTGGCCCTGGTACCTCGTACCCCTGCTGGGTGGGTGTCATGGAGCGGGCACGATAATGGCAGGTGATGTCCGAGTGCTCTACACTTTGTATATGTCACGTGACCTCACAGTAGCCCTAGGGGGCAGGTACTACGATGACTTTTACGTTTTCCTGAAGAGGCCCCTGAAGTTAGGAGATGACGTAACGTGCTCCTGGTCACACAGCTGGTAAAGGGTGGGGCAGGGATCTGAACCAGCTCTGTGTGCATCCGGACACAGTTCTTCCCCACTGTACGTGGACCTCAGCAGAAAGCTGCGTTCCGTTGCTGGTGACGGATGAGGAGACCGTCGCATCACTTCCCATTTTCAGGTTGCGCTTGTGAGACCTCAGACTGGAGGAAGTCTGTCTGGCCGGCAGAGGTGGGGAGGCCATGCCCCTCCTAGGGAGCACTGATAAAAAAGGTGGCCAGGATAAGACTGGGAAATGATTGATGCTAAGATTGATTCTGGGATAGCACCCGCCTTCCACTGCCTCCCCACCTTTCTCTTTGTCATCAGTGTACCTTTTATATGTATTTGCATAGTTGTTTTGACAACTGTAGACTGGAAACTCCAGGAGGGCAGGAGTTGGACCCATTTTGTCTGCTAGTATACATGCAGGGTCTAGGACTCCTGGCACACGGTAGGTTCTCTATGCATATTTCTTGAACGTATGAATGAAAAGAAATTGAAAACATTGGAAAGAAATGATTGAGAAATGAATGAACCATGAAGGTTGGAAAAAAAAAATTTTTTAAGTAGGCTTTATCCCCAGTGCAGAGCCCAACACGGGGCTTGAACTCACGACCTGAGATCAAGACCCTGATCAGGGTCAGGACCTGAGCTGAGATCAAGAGTTAGCTGCTTACCCAACTGAGCCACCCAGGGACCCCTCAGGATTTTTGGTCTGTCTGCCTTGTCTCACGGTGGTGGAAACGGAGTCTCAGAGAGGGTGATTACTGCTAACTGACTCCACGTCGGTCTTCACGATTATCCCCTCAAGAGGCACTTAGCAAGTGTCCGCCCTGTACCAGGCACCCGTCTGGGGGCAGCCCCGGGGGGCTGTGTTTTACCACTCGGTTCTGACGGCCACCCAAACACCGGTGTAAAATGTCTATCTTTAATGACATCTCAAGGGCCGTATGGGAAACGCTGACAGAATGGTTCCTCTCCAGGTGAGGCATCGTGGCTGGGCCACTCACTGCCTGGCATTCACACCTTTCTGGGCACAGCCCTGCCAGGGATAGAGTAAGGAACGTTGACAGACAGGGACTGCTTTCATGGAACGTTGATGGAAACGGATCAGAGATACATATCCGAATGAAGAGCCTGCTGAGTGGTACGTTAAGGGCTGCAAGTTCATCAGGCTGCAAGTTCAAAGGGCATACCGCCTTTCTAATGAGATGAAATTTCAACCAAGGCCCATCATGGG